TATTTCGGAATTAGGGTAATTATTATTTTTACAGCAGTAGCATCTGATTTACAAATATATTTGATATTCAGCTCACTATGATTCTCAATATACAACATAATATATCCTCCGAATATCAATTATACTTATTCACATGTTCATATTAATATTCAGGATGAACGAGACAACAATCTAGAATTATACATGTAGTATAATTCAAGTAACCAGAAGCTCGATATAAAATTATGACGTAATCGATATGACGCGTAGCTACACATTGTTGTTCTTGATTTGTTCAAGAAATGGTCATGTAACAAATGTCGATCTCTCACTGCCGCGTTGGCGGTAAATTTGTAACATCGAGTATCTCGTAATCTTGTATACACGGGATATATATACGGGAATACGTATGCCCCGTATGCCTAAGAAAAAATACCATGAGTTCGTGAGAATGTACCTCCCAACGAATTGCAATATTTATTATCATTTCGTCTGCCTCGTGTTAATATATATCTTCTATCTGCGTGTAATTTGAAATGTCATTTCGATTTAGAAATTAGTATTTGGACCCCGAATTTGGAGGTACTATCTAATACATGCTTAAGAGTGCATAGTCATCAAGCGGAGTTCGAGACGGTTCGAGACGAAATCGAAAGAGTAGATTCATATGGGACGCGTAGCTCGGGAGCTCGTCATTATATTCACATTATAATCTCATCAAGATATTCCTCTGCTTAGTTGAACAGCTACGAAAATACGAAGCATATACCTATATTCCATATACTTTGCTTGCTCTATTCTACCATATCCTACCGTGTCTTGTTTTATCTTATTTTATGCTTCGGTGCTTCTATAACACTCGATACAAGTGTATATAAATAATTTCTTGATGATTAATAATCGTGAATCGTATTACTGATTAGTAAATTTTTTTTACCACAATATCCAAAATTTATTTTTTTTATTTAACTTTAATTAGATTAATGGCAAGCAACTCGTGTTTGCATTTTACTGACATTTATACCGTACAAATAACTTGAAAAATATTAATCATAAATATTTTTAATATTTTTGACAAAAATATTAAAAACTATTTATTTTCTATTATTATTTTCATATTAAATTATTTATTTTCTTTGTACTTTAATTTCTTTAGAAGCTTTAGAAGATTTCTTCTAAGCTTCTTTAAAGTTATTTATTTGACGTTCCAAATAATATATAAAAACATTTTTTGATATACCTAGACAAAAACAAAAATATAAATAAATACATAAGACAGGAAAAACGAAGTTTATAAATAAATAATATGTAATGGAAAAAAAGAGATGTAAGAGACAATAATCAAAAATATATACAATAAACCAGTTACATAAGATTGTGATAGTTATTAATATGTTACGTTGAATTTTATATTTTCCAAAATAAATTTTCTCGAGAGCGAAACTTATAGGTAAACAAATCATACATTACATTTTTGTCTCATTTCTTTATTTTTCCCATTATTTTATAACATTTGTTTCAGTCGTTTAAGAAATCATCTTTTTTATTATACGGAACCATGGAGAATTGTAATCAAAATATTTTCTCATTTTATCCATTTTCCTTGTCGTTGCTTATACACTGGTGAAAGCCATCAACCTACTCCGATGCGTGATGGCAGCAACAGTTGCAGCTAGTGGCAGTCAACCTCGCGAAAGGAGGAATCCCAATTACGTCTGATCATACACTCTGTTATATACAGTGCTCTATCAGATATTTGCGAAATAATGCGTGCATGTTGGTTTATTTTATCGAAAGCACACAAGAGCACATTCACAGAATAAGAGAAGATAGAGATGGAAAAAAAATAGTAATTTCAAAACATACCGATTATCTCGAATTATTCATTAAATCAAATATCAAAAAATTTTGATAATTTTGAAAATGTCTTATAGAATATTTTAGAATATTCTTATCTGTTCTTTCAAAATATTATTTAAATTTTTATTTTATACCAGATAACTACAGATAATAATTTTATTTTTAAGAGATCTTAAGATTTTAAATATTTAAATACTTTTAAAAAAATATTTCCTAAATTCTAAGCTTTTAAAAGTTTCAAGGTTTATCATTTGCTATTTAAAAAAACTTGTTTACTTTAGTAATATTCAAAGTAATCCAAATTTTTATATTATTGAATTAAATTTAAATTTTCAAACAATATTTTCCATGAAGGACATAGAAAAAAATCGGACAAATGGAAATCGAAAATGAAAGACAGAAGGAAAATCAAAGAAAGATTAAAAAAAAAGAAGGAAAAAGGGGGAAGGGAGGGGGAGGGGGAGAGAGAGAGAGAGAGAGAGAGAGAGAGA